AATAATAATAATAATAATAATAATAATAATATAGGAACTCAAATACAAACGTTACAAATTTTTTGTTTTGTTTTGCGTAATGTGTAATATTAATTTTTTTGAACTTATATTATTAGTTTAAGGCAAAATAAAAAAATAATAATAATAATAATAATAATAATAATAATATAGGAACTCAAATACAAACGTTACAAATTTTTTGTTTTGTTTTGCGTAATGTGTAATATTAATTTTTTTGAACTTATATTATTAGTTTAAGGCAAAATAAAAAACAAAAAAAAAAAGAAAAAGAAAGTCGTGTTGTATGTGTGTAGAAAAACATGTTTTTTTTTTCTCTGTTGTTTAATCCAAAATCCATACTGAAAAACCGGGTACAGTCCTACGTTTCACAAATAATAAATTAGGGGTGTTTAAAAAATCTCTCAAACCATCTAAATCACTCATGCACTTGGTTAGTGGTTTCGTGTCCTGATTCGAATTATGATTCGTGATTTGTTACAGTATTTTTTCTCATAAAAAATACATGTAAACTGATAATGATTTTGAATCGTGATTCTAAATCCATAAATTAAACGTAAATCAAACCGAACCAAATCGTCAATTATTTTCAAATTATTGAACGGTTTTTTCAGTTTTATAAACTATTTTCTTGACATTTTGATTTGTAGTTTGGACTTTCTAAATAATCCAAACCGCCTAATAGTCCACTTAAAAAATATATATATATATAAAAATAGAGAATTTACTCTTGAGAGTGTATGAGTTTGAATTTTTACCCCTTGCACTTGATAATACCATTTTGTTAGTATAATTATTTGACTAAAAAGATTATGAATCATGAGTAAAGAGTAAAAATCTTAACCTATGCACTTTCAAGAAATATAGGTCAAGATTTCCTAATATATATAATTTTTTATTCTAAAAATATATACATATTTTATTTTTTTAAGTTTTTATTAGTCATAACAAGATTCTACACTTATAAAATACATATAATCTCATTTTTCTTGTTTTGTATTAAAACTTCAAAATGGTAAACTTTTAAACATTTGCTGCTTTAGAAATTTTATAATTTTGAGTTATAATGTAAACTTAAACTTTTTTATGGATTAACGACTTTATAATTTTTTTAAATTATTGAAATTTTTTTTTATCTAAAGTTCAAACGGCATAAACTATAAACCGTTTAAACTGTTTACGAGTGATTTGATTTAATTTGATTTTTATTAAAAAATCAAACTGTCTAAAAAAATATATTTTTAATTTGATTAGTAGTTTCTTTAGTTTGATTTTTATCAAAATAATTAAATTGTCTAAAAAATATATATTTTTAATTTGATTTGTGGTTTCTAAAAAAAATGGCCAAACCAAACGGAAACACCTCTATAACAAATTATTAATGAGGTGTTTGGTATAAGGATTCATATTATAGTTTGAATCATGATTCGTGACTCGTTACATTGTTTTTTTTTTCACAAAATACACATAAATCGAGAATAATTTTGAATCATGGTTCTTAATTTATGATCTAAACGTCCACTAATTTTAACAAAATTATAAATTACTAAATATAATTTTAGCAAAATTATAAATTACTACTTAATATAATTCAATTTTTTTTCCGATATGAAATATTGATGTTAAAATATTGGATATTAATGTGTGATTAATATCATTCATTTTAAAATATCATCATCATTTTTATTTCTAGAGAGAGAGAGAGAGTGAGAGAGATCATGTATAGGTAGATACTCTTCTGTCTGTGTGTGTCTCTTTGGTTAGATTCTTTCGTGATTTGGTCTTTTGAAACGATCTCCTTTTTCTCTTTCATGGCGGCAACCCAACCACAGGGACCAGATCGTACCTCTGGTACGTCTCCTTGTTTTGCTCTTCTCTTTCCCTTTTCCCATCAATTATGATTATTGTCTTCTGGGTTTTCTCCGTTGTGATGATTTGTATCTTCTTTTTGCCTATAATTCTTGCTCTTTCTCCTTATTTATTCAATTTTTGTTTTAATTGAAGAAGATCTTGCTGCGGGTCTATTCTGAGTAATTTCTTCTCTTCTATGTTGTTTTTGGAATTGTTTCTATTTGTACGTTACCCCAATAAAGTTTTGTGATTGTTTGAGAGGTGAGGCTTTGACACTTCTCTATTGTGATAATTGGCCATTTTAGATAGCTTTGTGCGTCTAATTCTGACTTGATCTGCCTTGTTGGAGTGTTATGAGTGTTTATAATGAAGATCTAGGATTTCGGTAATTTAAAGTGACATTTGTTTTTGAATTTTCTTGAGAGAGGTCAATGCTTATGATCTGTAGATTCAGTCAATGGCATGGTATGGATAGTTATTTAAGGCAATTGGAGTTCAAAATGTATATATTTCATAGAGAAATGCAGTTCTTTTCATTTATTTAATGTAACCTTTCTATGAATGATTTAGTCCACACATCTGCTAACACAGTGTCATATGAGCTAGAACTTTGATCTAATCAATTTGTTAAAGTAAGTACAACTCTATCTTAATTTCAACGTTTGTGTTTTAAGTAGTGCTATGTTACAGTTTAGAATTGGAAAGTGGAGGGATGAGGGAAAGAGTAATAATGAAGATAGAATGATTATAATGCTTCTTGTCTCCATTTTTAGCCATTCTTTCTCGTAGTGAGCATGCCCTTGTGGACTGATTATGTTCCAGCAGAACATAGTTATCATTGTTTGACTTGGTATGAGGTAAATGGTGTAAGCAAATGCATGCTATAGTGCTCTTGGGGGCTTGCGATGGTTAAAGCAATTATGTGGTTTTTGAAGAGACAAGACTTGTGAACGGTGGATTTCAAGTTTCAAGTAAACTTAAAGCAATCACCAAAAAGATGCTAATTGAGATTAGTTAGATTTGTAGTTCTTCTAAATGCTTATGCTGCTAGGGGGTGGGTTCACATTTGATTCCTTTCTTCTGACCATGACCCTTCTCATATGGGGCTTTAAATTGTTAATTTCTCTCGTTTCTTTGTCAAAAAAAAAAAAAAGGTGCAAATGTGGAAAACCTGTATTGGATAGATCCAAGAGGAAAACGATTTATTGAGAAGCCTAAAACAGGACATGTTTTTGTCAGCAGATCTAGGATATGTAACTTATTTCCGAAATGCAGACTGCAATTCTGAAATTCGAACTTAGATCAACTGGTATACAGTGGTACCATCTTAGAAATTAGTTATCCTAAAACTTTAAGCTATTAGGAGAAGTGCCAAAGTTGGTTTCTATATCCTTACAAAGATGATTCATACTTGCTGCCAATTGAGCTAGCTAAGAGGACAAATGCCTTTGAATCCAATTTGCTAGGCCACTAGGAAACTGGTCTATATGGTTATGTTGTCTACATGATAATGAAACATTTGAGAGCCTATAATATATGGGGTTGGGTAATGTTACTCAGTTGCTTGCTTTTAGACCATTAATTGGTAAGCCTTTAAAGCCTCACTATAAGAGAAGACTTTTAAGGGATTGGTTATTAGATATGAATTTCTTCTGGTCTAAGTGACGTAGTGAACTATAAATTGATAAATGTTTAAAGCCTCACTACAAAAGAAGGCTTTTAAGGGATTATTAGGTTTGAATTTCTTCTGGTCTATGTGAACTACAATTTGCTTTATCAAGTTTTTAGTTCTTTCTTCCCCTATTAGATATCAATGTGATTGTCAGCTTGTTCTTTTGTACATTTAAGACGTTGTGTTATTAGCTAGTTGACGATCTTTTGGAGTGCTAGCATTAACATTCCATCTGCACTATTTTGTGTTTTTTTTTTCAATTGACCATGTGACATTTATGATTATTATTTGTGCACATTTCTTTAGAAATATACTACAAGCCTGTTGGCGCACGCATGTTTACTCTAAAATTTATTCATATGATCTTCTATCTATCGTGTACATAGGTGTGCACGTGTGGGTTTGTGTGCACATATTCATAACTTCAAGTTTTCCATCTTCAAATTTTGCTTTGGTTGGTCAATTTTTGTACTGCCCGTGTTTCTAAGACTACTGATCATGGATGCAGAAGATAAAACTGCCGAATCAGAAAACGTGAAAGAGCAGGTATTATGCGTGTTTTCTGATGTTCTTCTGTTCACTTCCTTTTTCCTATATGAATGAGATTATTTGTTCACATTATGTCTGATAACCTTTTACATGTTTCTGTTTGCAGCAACAGTCTGCGAAAAATGAAGGGTCAGTTTCTCCCAATCCTTCTCGGGATGCTGCCACCGTAGGTCATCCTAGAGACCCAGTAGTTCAATCAGGATCTTTTGCTTCTAGCAGAGATCGAGCAGTTTATCCACCTAACATCTATGCTCCACAGGCCCAAACCTTCTACTACAGAGGTTTCTTCTTGATTCCTTTGCTGACAGATTGCTTATTACCTTTCCAATTATGGTTCTTCTGGTTCATTAGTGAGGCTTTCTTTCTTATTGAGTTCTACTGCATTCTGATACATTGCTGAGGACTACATCTTGAAGCAGATCTAGGACTGTAATTTTATGTGTTTAGAATGTCTGTAATTTAGTAAAATGATTTATTTTTTCACTTTCTATAAGCCAAATATAGTGAACTTTTTTTTCCTTCTTCTTCAAGTTGGGTTGGTATAAAAATGCGCAATAATTAAGGTACTTTTTTTTTTTTTTTAATACTTGTAAAGATTTTAGGTCTCTATGCATCTTGATAGATGTGAGATGTCCTTAATGCCTTATGTGACTGATCGGCTCCTTCAGCTATGACATTTTGTCCCCCCTATTTTGGACATAAAGCCAATATGCTTACAATTGTTTGTATAAGTAGAAGAATTAGAAATTTGTCTTATTTGTCTGCTCATGCACAAGTAATTACAGTTTTGTTGTGTAATTTTTCATGCCTTCCTAAAGGATCTCAAACTTAGGAAAATTTTGTAGTTTAGGATTAACATTGTTAGCTTGACATTATATTGATTTTTAAGACTTGTATAGGGAGTTACCAAACATAGTTCTATAATATTCCCCATGTTGAATCAAAATGATTTCCTAATAAAGTCTAGACAAGTAGTTGTCTATGGGAGGAGTGCATATGAGTTATCATGCAGTTTGGTCTCCACATTTATGGTTATGCATAATATTCTTAATGCCTTATAAATGAAAAGGATTTGAGGCTTGTATTCCTAAAGGATTTTGGGATTAAGGCTTGTATTTGTTGTTGTTGTTGTTGTTGTTGTTGAAAAGGATTTGAGGATTGAATTTTGTTATTGTGATGTAACTCTAGGTTATGAAAATGGAGCTGGTGAGTGGGATGAGTATCCTCAATACCTCAATGCTGAAGGATTGGAAATTGGATCACCCGTGGGTTTTTTCCCCTTTTTTTCATCTTCGAGTATTTTTCTTTATATTAACTAACTGTACATTTGTTTGGCACTCAATCTTATTCAGGGCGTCTACAATGAAAATCCTTCTCTTGTCTTCCATTCGGGATATGGTTATAATCCACAAATGCCATATGGACCTTATTCTCCAGTCACAACACCGTTGCCTTCTGTAGGTGGAGATGCACAACTGTACTCTCCCCAGCAATTTCCATATTCAGGGCCACCTTATTTTCAGCAGGTAGGACCAGCCAACATGCCATATATTACTTCACCAAATCCAGTTTCGCAGCCAGAGCTCACTACATTACTAGGTGTTGACCAACAAGGTGATAGCATGCTTTTTGGACCAAGGCCTGGTTATCCTGCCATGGGATCTTTTGGTAGAGGCAGTTTTCCAGGAAATCCTGGTACTCTTGGTTTTCATGATTTGCAGCAAGGTTTTGATGGATTGAGATCTGGTGGAATTTGGTCAGATTGGTCAAAACCCTCGGATAGACAGAAATCTTTGACTCCATTTTCACCAGCAGTATCTCCACAGCCGATTGGCCCAGTTGGGTCATTTGGGCATAATGTCAGAATGGTTTGTTCTTTTTCCTTTCCTCTCTCAATAGGCTCTGATATAATTGGGCATGCTTCCTTTAATAATTGAAGTTTCAGAAGAGAAACAATTTAAATAGTATTCAGGGAAAGTTGATATACCTTCCAACCAAGTACAACCATCAACTCTGGAGTCTGGAGTACTTAAAGAAATTTTATTAACGAATGACTCTGAATATCCTTACTGATATGCACAGGAAATTTTTAGGGCCATATTTTTCTTCGTGCCATGGCATTGTCTGCATGCAGTTTCCTGCGGGAAAGAAGTTTCGTTTGTTTGAACCTATGTGTAACCAGGGATCTCCATGCTTTTTAGTATTAATGCTGAATCTAAAACATTTGCAGGCTTCTCAACACCAAAGATCATTATACGGGTTTGGATCTGGTTCAAATTCGTACAGTAGGGGCTTCCTGCCCGGTGGTTTTAGTCGAGGCTCAAATGCATCATTTTCCAGTTTGGGAACAAACAGTCAAGGCTGGCTAACACTTGACAATAGCAAACGCCGTGTGAGGGGCAGCGTTGCACTGTGCAGCTGTAATGGTACCATTGACATTCTTAATGAGCAGAACCGAGGACCGAGGGCCTCAAAGCCAAAGAGTCAAATTACGACCGATGGTACCTCTACAGACAATAACAAACATAACACAACAACTGCTAAGATCCGTGATGAATCCTACAACCACCCGGACTTTATAACAGAGTACAAGGATGCTAAGTTCTTTATTATCAAATCTTACAGTGAAGATAATGTTCACAAGAGCATCAAATATGGTGTTTGGGCTAGCACACCAAATGGGAACAGAAAGTTAGATGCTGCATATCGCGAAGCTAAGGAGAAGCAAGATACCTGCCCGGTCTTTCTCTTATTTTCGGTAAATATCTCAACCCACTGAGAAATTTGAATTTGGAATGTAACGCTGTATAGTGTTGTTTCTGTTTGAAGAAACTACCAATTTTGTCTGGGGTGAATTTGTATATAAATGATAATGTCTAATTAGATAAAGACAATTTTTTTTTTAATCAGAGAAGGCAACATTAACTTCTTGTAAGTCTTAATTTATAAGAAAACAGATCCAGGAAACGAGTGTTGTTTCAATTTGGCAGCCTTTCACCAGATTCATGATTGTTTCTTTTTTTTTTTTTGGGTTGAATGTTTTGGTTCTTCTTCTCTCATTTGTCTTGACTTACTACTTATGTCTAACGAATTTTTCATTGTAACAACATGAAGGTGAATGCTAGTGCTCAGTTTTGTGGGGTAGCTGAAATGTTTGGGCCGGTTGACTTTGACAAGAGTGTAGATTACTGGCAGCAAGACAAATGGAGTGGACAGTTTCCTGTCAAGTGGCATATCATCAAAGACGTCCCCAATAGTCAGTTTCGCCATATAGTGCTTGAAAATAATGACAACAAGCCTGTAACCAACAGCCGAGACACTCAAGAGGTAAGAATTTGAAAATTGAAGTCTTTATTTTACCTAGATTGTATATTGTTTCTCTCACTTTTAATTGCTGTGTGTTGAATTTGATGATTCTTTGTGTCACAGGCTATATAATAGACATTTATTATGTACTATGTAGAATTGGGTACTATTTTTATTTATTAATATCTCAGATGCTTGGTTTTTGTAGAGCTAATTTTCTTCCCTCGTCTTTTTCCTAATGGGTCAAATGGTTTATTTATTTATTTTTTTGGGTGTTGGGTAAGGTTAGAGAAGATGGATTAGGCTTGTAAGTGGATTTCAGAACATTTCTAGCCTAGAAGGTAGCTTGGGCACTTAACCCTCATTTCGCTCTTTCCCCTACCCAGTGCATCTTGTGTAGACAGGAGGGGGAGACAATAGAGTGCTACACTGTACGGTGGTTAGGACAGTATGGCAGAAATTGTTGGACGAACCTTTCTATGGGTGTTTCCTGCACATCGTAGATCTTGATGGTGGAGGATACGGTGGCCTTTGGGGCTAATAAAATGGCAAAAGTCCCATGGAGATGCATGGTGGTTTTATTATTGTTGGACTATGGATAGGGAGGAATTCCAGAATTTTTGAGGAAAAGGAGATGGGGGCCACACATTTTTGAAAAGGCGATGTTTTTTAGACTTGCTATGGGCTTCGACTGATAAGGCATTCAAATGCATCCGATCCTCCTTGCTCATATAATTGGAAGGACGTTATATAGGGAAATAGTTTTTGTTAAAGTATAAAACTATTGTTGGCCCACCTCCTAAAAGCTTAAGCTTTTAGGATGGATTGGTAAACTAACATGGTATCAGAGCAGGAGGTCCTGAGTTCAAACTCCTGTAATTGCACTCTTTATTCCCATTTAAATTGTCATCATGTGTTGGGTCTTTAATATATCTCGGGCTTAAATATTCACGTGTTGGGCTTTCCAATTAATTTACCCACACGATTGCCCATTGTCCAGCCCACACGTGAGGGGGAGTGTTAAAGTATAAAACTATTGTTGGCCCACCTCCTAAAAGCTTAAGCTTTTAGGATGGATTGGTAAACTAACAATGAAGAATTTCTGAACTTCTATTATTAATCTTCTGTAACCCTACAATAGCATATATATACACAAATGACTAATAAGGGAAAAACTAACTAGCTTGATTCTCTCCTAAAAATCAGGAAACAAAATTATGAGAAAAGATCACAACCGATCTCTCCTTTTATTCCTAAAATACTTTCCTAAACTAACTTCCCTAACTTTTGACTTCCGAATTCAACACTCCCCCTCAAGCTGGAGAATATATATCATATAACCCCAGCTTGCAAATTAAGTCTTCAAAGTTAGGTCTTGGTAGAGCTTTGGTGAGGATGTCTGCCGTTTGTTGCTTGGTAGGGATGTAGTTCAATTTAACTGTCTCACTAGTCACCTTCTCTGTGATGAAATGTCTGTCAATCTCAACGTGCTTAGTCCTGTCATGATGCACGGGATTCTTGGCTATGCTTATAGCTGCCTGATTATCACACATCATCAGAATAGGAAATGAACTCATTTGTCCCAGTTCACTTAGAACCCTTTTTATCCAAATCCCTTCACAAATTCCCTGTGCTAGTGCTCTGTACTCAGCTTCTGCACTACTTCTGGCTACCACTGATTGCTTCTTGCTCCTCCAGGTAACAAGATTGCCCCAGACAAAGGAACAATACCCAGACGTTGACCGTCTATCAATGAGGTTTCCTGCCCAATCTGCATCTGAATACACTTCAGTGTTACGGTTTTCTGTCTTTATGAAGAATAGGCCTTTCCCTGGGGTCATTTTTAAGTATCTAAGAACTCTGTAGACTGCTTCCATGTGTTCCTCTGTAGGGCTGTGCATGAATTGACTTACAACACTTACTGCAAAACCAATATCTGGCCGAGTGTGTGACAGATAGATCAAGCGTCCAACAAGACGCTGATATCTCCCCCTGTCTACTGGAGCACTTTCTTTCTCGGTGCCAAGTTTCTTTTGACTGTCCATAGGAGTATCAACTGGTTTGCATCCAAGCATACCGGTCTCCTTAAGAAGGTCCAAAATATATTTCCTTTGAGAAACTACAATACCTTTACTCGATCTAGCCACTTCCATTCCAAGGAAATATTTCAGATTTCCAAGGTCTTTAACTTCAAACTCTTCTGACAAATACTTCTTCAACTCCTGTAGTTCCTTCACATCATTCCCCGATAGAATAATATCATCGACATAGACTATCAATATGGCAATTTTCTCAGCATGAGATTTCTTGACAAACAGAGTATGATCAGACTGACCCTGTACATAGCCAAGCTTCAAGACTGCCTTTGTGAATCTGTCAAACCAGGCTCGGGGAGATTGTTTAAGGCCATACAAGGACTTTCGGAGTTTGCAAACCTGATTCTTTGTCATACTTCCTTCGAAGCCAGGTGGAATTTCCATGTAGACCTCTTCTTCTAGGTCACCATTTAGGAAGGCATTTTTTATGTCCAGTTGTTGCAAACACCAATCTTGGTTGACTGCCAATGAAAGAAGAATTCTGATAGTGTTAAGTTTTGCAACAGGAGCAAAAGTCTCTTGATAGTCTATTCCATAGGATTGTGTAAATCCTCTAGCTACCAACCGAGCCTTGAATCTCTCGACTGATCCATCTGCCTTGTACTTTATAGTGAAAATCCACTTGCACCCCACGGGCCTTTTCCCACCTGGTAAATCCGTGATAGTCCATGTCCCATTCTTCTCAAGTGCATCAATCTCATCTTGTACTGCCTTCTTCCATTCAGAATTTTGTAATGCCTCATGTATTGTGCTGGGAATCTGAGTACCATCAAGAGAAGTAGCAAATGCTTTGTAAGATGGTGATAGCCCTTCATACGTGACATAATTCCCAATTGGATGATCTGTACATCTCCTAACACCCTTCCTCAATGCAATCGGCAGGGTAGAGTCATCAATGCTGGGAGTTGACACATCTCCCTCCCTATCCGTACCCATGTTTTCCTCAGGTGGACTTGAAATTGAGTCAATATATTGGCCACATGTTGGCTGTGATCCGTGCTCTAGCTCCTGTCTTTTCTTCCTCCTAATGTAGACTTGTAAATTCTCATTAGCAAGCTGTGGGGCTACAGATTGAACAGGCACGGGAGAAGACACATTTGTGGGCTGGACTGATAACGGCACAGGTGTGGATGAGTCAATGGGCACGGTTTGAGAAGGCCGTGGTGACTCTGAGTGAGACGAGGGTACTGACTCAAGAATAGACTCCCAAATTTGATGTTCATTCATGCTCTCCCCCTGAACACGAGATTTGGGATAGAAGAACACGTGTTCAAAGAAAGAAACATCCATGGTGGTGTAAAATCTTTTGCTTATTGGAGAATAACATTTGTACCCTTTTTGGGTTGGAGAGTATCCTAGGAAGATGCACTTATTGGCTCTAGGATCAAATTTGCTACGGTGTTGAGGATACACATGAACGAATGCTGTGCAACCAAATACTTTGGGTGGTAAATCAGATGAAACTGCACGGGTGTGAGGAAAATTTTCCAGAAGAAGCTGACGTGGAGATTGAAAGGTAAGGACTCTGGATGGCATGCGGTTAATCAAATAGGTAGCTGTGAGAATGGCTTCCCCCCAGAAATAGTTAGGAACATTAGACGAAAACATAAGACACCGGGCAACCTCCAAGAGATGTCTATTCTTGCGTTCAGCCACCCCGTTTTGTTGTGGGGTGTCAACACAAGAACTTAAGTGGATAATCCCGTGGTTCTGAAGGTAGGTATTGAGACTACTAGTAAAGTATTCCCTAGCATTGTCTGATTTGAGTACCTGAATTCTAGAATTGAATTGATTTTGAACCATAAGATTGAAGGTGTGAAAAATTTGTCCAACTTCTGACTTTTCTTTCATAAGATAAACCCAAGTTACCCGTGTATGATCATCAACAAAGGTCACAAACCATCGAGTTCCAGAAACATTTTTTATACGTGAGGGTCCCCACACATCACTATGGATCAAAGAAAAAACAGTTGAAGGTTTGTATGGGATTTGAGGATATACTGTTCGAGTATGCTTTGCAATCTGACAAATTTCACAATGAAAAGATGCTGGATTTTTATTGATAAATAATTTGGGAAACAGTTTTGCAAGATACACAAAGCTAGGATGACCAAGACGATAGTGTAACAATATAATTTCACTATCTTTATTGACATTGGAATTTGACACAGAATTAAAAGACCCTAAAAGACTCTGAGACTGGACACAACTTGCTTGTGAGACTTGGTTTGAGGATCGGTCACATGAGAGGAGATAGAGCCCGGAGCACAGTTCAGCACTGCCAATCATCTTCCCTGATTTCAAGTCCTGAAAAATACACAAGTTTGGATAAAATTTAGTAACACATTGAAGGTCACAAGCCAATTTACTAATGGACAAAAGATTACAATCCAAGTTTGGAACATGGAGGACAGAGTCGAGATACAACTCTTTAGTAAGTTTGATGGAACCTGTCCCAGCGATTTTTGAATTTGAACCATCAGCTATATGGACGGACGAGTGACCACTACTTGGCTTGTAATTTTGGAGAAGGGCAGCATCTCCTGTCATGTGATCAGAAGCGCCTGTGTCTACTATCCATGGCCTCATTCCTCCATGGTTAGCAGTGAAGGCTGTATGCGGATCAGTTTGAGCAACCAAACCAGCCCCAGTAATGTTGCCACTGCCGACTTGACTAAACAGTTTCTGCAGTACATTCATCTGTTCTTTGTTGAATGGGCTAGGCTCGGGAACAGGAGCACTATCGGAATTGGAGGCCACATGTGCTTTGCTGTCTCTATCAAACCGTGGCTTTGGTTTCCAATCTGCTGGTTTGCCGTGAAGCTTCCAGCAAGCCTCCTTGTAATGGCCTAGTTTCTTACAGTAATCACACCAAGGCCTTTCCCGTTTTTGACGATCTCCGCCATTATTGTTGAATGACCGAATAGCAAGGGCAGAGGCATCTAACGGTGAGGCATGTTGTTCCTTAGATCCCATCATCACTTTCTTTCTACTTTCTTCACGCCTAACCTCGGAGAAGGCCTCCCTGAGACTGGGCAGTGGTTTAGTGCCCATGATTCGACCCCGAACATCATCCAACTCCCTGTTAAGTCCTAGGAAAAACTTGAACAGCCTTTTTTGTTCCACAACCTGCCTGTACGTTGCTGCGTCGTCCGGACATTTCCATGAGTGAGTCTCGAATAAGTCAAGTTGCTGCCAATACCGTATGAGTGTGCTGTAATACTGAGTGACGGACTGCTCTCCTTGGCGGAAGTCATGAAGGGCTGATTCTACCTGAAATAGTTCTGAAGTATTTTCAGAACTGGAGTAAGTTTCTTTGGCTGCATCCCATATTTCTTTTGCAGTTCCAAACAGCAAGAAATTTTCACCTATGTCATTGTTCATGGAATTGATAAGCCATGACATGATCATACTATTTTCTATCTTCCACTTCTTGAAACCCGAATCAGTAGTCTCTGGCATGGCTGCTTCTCCTGTGAGATATTCATCTTTTCCCTTGCCACAGATGAACAGCAACACAGATTGTGACCACTGTAAGTAATTATGGCCATTTAATTTGTGTCCTGTGATGAGAATAGGAGAAGATTCGCTGCCACCAAGGTTTGGAATCTCTGATCTTCCTCCTGATTCTGGGGTCGTGACACTGGATGTTTGTAATGATGCCATTCCGTATTTTGTCATGTCTCAAATATTGCGGAAAAGATGAGAGGAAAGACTGAATATGGATGCTGGAAATATATAAGAGAAACCGGAGATAATTGGCCTGAGAACAACGAAGAGGTGGCCAGAAAACTTGGCAAGAGGTGGCCGGAATAAGAGATGGCCAGAGAGAGGTGGCCGGAATAAGAGATGGCCAGAGAGAGATGGCCGGAATGAGAGATGACCAGAGAGAGATATGGCCGGAAGGGATTAGGGTTCAGAAAACTGGCTCTGATACCATGAAGAATTTCTGAACTTCTATTAGTAATCTTCTGTAACCCTACAATAGCATATATATACACAAATGACTAATAAGGGAAAAACTAACTAGCTTGATTCTCTCCTAAAAATCAGGAAACAAAATTATGAGAAAAGATCACAACCGATCTCTCCTTTTATTCCTAAAATACTTTCCTAAACTAACTTCCCTAACTTTTGACTTCCGAATTCAACAGTTTTGCCTCTGTTTTTTTCACTAGTGTAGTTTCAACTCAGTTTGAACGGTGAGCGCAGTTTGAATTGACGTTTGGTAAGCATGCAGTTTGAATTATATTCCCCGTTTGAACTGAGTTAAACGGCCCAACTTAGAGTTTAGCTCCCCCTTCAAGTTCAACCATTCAAACCATTTCTGAACAGTAAAAAGGTGTCTACTCTCTCTACTTTTCACACTTACCAAACACAAATTCAAATTTTATTCCCTGTGCAAATTAAAACTTTAACTACACATCAAAGCGTCAATTCAAACTACAATTTAAACCACACAATTTGAATTTTTCTGTTTAAATCAAAAAGTTCAATTAAACAAAATTCAAACCAGCGAACCAAACGGGGGCTTTGTCTGTGAAGTTCAGAGTGTTGGTTCTTTCTCTTGTTGAGCTGTTATACTGTATTTTGAGCTTCTGGTTTTTCCTCTTTTTCGACTTTTGAGGATTCCTCTTCCTCTTTTCCTTATAATTGATTTAATTATCAATTAAAGGGTTTTCCTGTAAAAAAAAAAAAAAAAAAAAGGAAAAATGATTGGCTTAGCTCTGAATTCCAGGTTCTGGAACCATGTTATGCTTTCTTTTCTTTTTGCTATCTTAAATTACAAATGTTATAGTAATTCGAGGTATCAGGATCTTGATCTTTGATTCCAAGTCTTAACTAGATTTGATGGTTCGTGCTTTCTTCCTTTATTATTAGTATTTTTTTTTTCCTCTGCTCTGGTTTTAGTTCTACTTTTTTTCTTTTTTTCTTAATGACCCAATTGTTTTTGCTCAAGTAGACGGGCCAAGGCTTATTATTGTGCCTTTCAGAACATCATTAACTTTGGCAAGTTTTACAAAACAAATTGAAATCTTCAAATAAATAGTGTCAGTAATTTTCGCGTTTTTGGATATGAACTTTTTCAGGTCAAATTGGAGCAGGGTATTGAGATGTTGAAGATCTTCAAAAATTATGAGACTGATATGTCCATTCTCGATGATTTCGATTTCTACGAAGACAGGCAGAAAGCAATGCAAGAGAGGAAGGCGAGACAACAAGCCAGCCTAATGACTGTTGGTGTAGTGAACGAAAACGAGCACAGAAATGCTGCTGCAATATCTGGTGGTTTTATTAAGCAAATGTCCAAGAGTTTTGCTCAAGTTGTACGCTTAGATGAGGGCAGTAAAGAAGCTTCCCTTTCTGACCGAGCTACTTCCGTCAATGATGTCTCCATAGGCACAAGAGTGAAACTTGAAGATGCTATAACAGCAGCTGTGTCTTCTGCTCAAGCCAGTTAATTATACGGGCATGGCTTGTGGTGCTATGTAGCTACTCAAGGTTTGATTCTGTTACAGTTTCGTTATTTTATGATAAGGTAGGCTCCGAAGTCTCTTTATTGATTGCAATGTTTCTGTATTTTCGAATGGAAAGTCTTCTATAAATTCTACAAAGCTGATGAGCTTCATGTATAATATGCTTCCCGAGCGCTGCATTTTTATTGCAGCCATTAGTTTTCCCTCTCACAAGTTTGTTTTTGTGAAGATATTGGCTCATGTTTTACCTTAGTAAAGTTGCCCATCTCTGCAGGCAATTCAATAAGAAACGATGTGAAAGACGTCAAAAAGAAAAGATGTTTATTTTGCTCTTCTTTCTTTGCTTACCTAATACACCATGGTGTCTGTGTGTTAAACAATATTAGTGCACAAGTTGTGAAAACAAACTTACAGGGATTTATGCTGTATGTATCAGTAACCTCTGTGTTGGAAAAAAGAAAATAATAAATTCTGCTGAGATCTTAGCAATGTGGTCTCTCCTGAAACTGTTTTATCATATTTTGCACGTTTTCTGAGAAATTCCTTGTATGACTAACGGTTTGTGATTATTATTATTATTATTTTACTCCAGACAGTACTTGGCTTCTGACAAATTAGGAGGATTGCTCATAAAGTGTTGATTTGGTTAGCTTAGGATGAGCCTTTAATCAGCCACTTATAGGGCTCGATTCAGGAGGTCTCCAAGCCGGTATGCTGGGGTAGCATTTAAAATGTGGGTCAGACTTGCAATGGTGATCTTAGCTTCCAGGGAGGCGAAGGGTGAAAAACTAAAAAAAAAAATAATTCAAGTTACAACTTTATTCGAGTTCATATTCTTTTAAGTTTAAACTCAAGTTTATGATTAAAACTCGAGTTCAAGTCTCTCCTTCAATTCGAGTTCAGAAACTCGAACTCAAATTAATGAATAATATTTTTTCTATTCTTAAAAATGCTATAACTTTTTCGTTTTAATTCTGATTGAGATGATTTTTTTTCTATGCGTTGACAACGAAAAGACGAATAAAACCCGACCCATATACCCTATTAAAATTTTTCATCAGCATTGAGTTTTTATTAAAATACTATCTAAATATAAATTTAAGTTTTGACTCATTCAAAAATATTCTAATCTCAAACCATAATTCAAATGTATACAACCAAACACAAATTAAAGTTACAAGTTCAACTCAAATTATAATTTAAATTTAACTTAATAATTATACTCAAGTTAAACTCTAAAAGAATAAGTCCTTAGAATTGGCTTTGGTGGCCGGAGATGGAACAGAAAATGTCATGACTCCTAACTCCTATCCATTGACAAAAATTTGTCCGATATTTCTGAAATTTCCACCGAATTTCCATAATTCTAAGGTCCTAAAATATCTTTTAGGCATAATATTTATCAAAATTGACCAAAAATTTTGGGAGATGTTTTAAGACCTTAGAAATTCTGAAATTTCGGAAGAAATTTTAAAAATACCATAAACAACTTTTCCATGCACAAACTTTCATGAAAATTTCTGTAAGTATTGGAATCATCGGTAGAAATATCATCAATTTTTTCCAGGTCGTAGTATATTGATTTACAAAATTTCAAGTTATATAAGTGAATTAGTGGAAACTTTCGAAAAAATTTGCAACTATCACACGGATTTTTTTCTTTTTGTTCATTTTATGGATATTAGAGTATCTAAATATAATAATATATATTAATCACCTAGTGTGCTTATACATTTTATAGATTAGCATATCATGATATCAATATTTTTTTGAATCACAACGAAATTCTGATTATATTTGAATACTTTCTTTTGGTATAATGTTAAAGAGTTCAATCTATGTGTTCATACAAATTTATTTATTTGTGTATCTTTTCGATCTTAATTATAAATTAAAATATAAAAGAAATATTAGTACTACAATAAATATTCATAGTTTTCATGATTTTTTCTCGAATTTTCCACCGATATTAATATTTTTTCTGAAATTTGTTAAACTGGGAGTATCAATATTTTCATTAATACCGTTGTTTTCATTACAAGTCCTATGGTAGAACAAAGTAGAGAGATTGAACTAAAAAAACGCTGCACGCACATGATATAAGATCAAATATTCAATATAATAGTGCTAAATAGACTTTTTCGATAAATGTCAATATATTCTTTATCCATTTTTTAGTGTTAAATATAGCGTTGACATTGATATACACATTAGAGATGGTTTTAGAGTATCTTTAATGTAAGGTTAAGTTAATGTGGTAAAGCCAATTTTTTAAAAATTTGGTTAGAAAAATCACTCTTCAAGATGCATTCTTTAGCGCGACTAACTTTAGCACGAAGCACGATAGATGCCAAATTATCATGTTTTAGTTATTATTTGTTGATGTGTTGACTTTTTATTTAGTACTTACAACATTGTCATTAATTAAAAAATAACAAAGTTAGTTTTATTATACTAAACATGATTATAACGAAAAGAAAATATAATATTTGATTATTGTTTTTGATGCACTTTGAATTTTAGAGTAATTTTTAAATTGTTTCTTAAACTTTAAAAACTCGCACATTGCCTCTTAAATTTTAAATTATTTTCATTTAATCCCTTTTATTGTAATTTATGTCAAAACACATAGACTAAAGAGAATAACACAGTCATGTAGTATTTTTATTAGATTTCTGATAAAAAAAAAAACAGATAAAAACCTAAACTCCCTAATTTTTGTCTGATTTACCAAAAATTCTTATAAAAGAGCTTAAATAGGAGAAGTACAAAATTTAAGAAGTAAAATAATAATTTTTAAAGATTAAAAATAGAGTGAAAATGACTCTAAATTTCAGGAGAATATAAAAATTTAATTTAATATGCACGCATTACATAAATTGGCCCGGTCTCCGACTTTGGAGTTAAATGGCTTGGCCTTGACTGGGGCAAAGTATAAATGAAACTTGCTGCCCAAGAAATTGTCATACTCGTCTATAAAAGTTTGACCACCATAGTAATCAACCTATTTATTAGTATTTTCGTTTAATTACAGACACAGTACGTGTGAATATTGGCGTTATTTTTAAAAAGAAAAAAAATAGTATTTGAGTTTTTCTGAATGTGAAAAAATATGGCCTAATGTTTCCATTAAATATATATATATATATATATATATATATATATATGGCCTAATGTAATCCCTAATGCAAGTGTGTGGAAAATTTGAAAAAAAAAAAACCGGAAAAGGGTCGATTACCGAAAAAAAAAAAAACGGAAAAGGTTCTATCTAAAAGGGCAGGAAAGAGCATGAAGCTGTATATTAAGTTTTTTTAGAGATGCATATTAAATTTGGAATACTAAAATTGTTTGTTTTGGTTGAAATTTCAATTAAATAATATGTTAATTTATTTGTTGGAATTTCAACAAAAACAATAAGTTTAAATTGTATCGTATATATTTTTTCTTGAAGGAATCTCTAAAATATAATTCGTTTTACTTCTAAATTTGCTCTATATATGTATCTTGTTTTTTCTTTTTTCATAAAATAGAAAATCTTGATTTTAGGGGGTTGTGTGTATCTTGTTAACATTTTCTTCTCTCCATCTTATTTTTCTTTATAATGTCTTCTATTAAGAAAATTCAAATTCAACTTTTTTTGCTACATTATTTTTTCTGATATAAATTTATGGGGTGTGTAGTTTATTAAATGTTTTTTTTTCTTTTTTTATTTTTTTTTGTAAAAAGAGACAAATACTTTTTGAAGTGTATGAGTTTAAATTTTTACCTTTTACTCTTTATTAATTTCTTTTTAGTCAAATAACTATATTAGTCAAAATGATATTAATCAATCAAAAATAAAGGATAAAAATTTTGACTCATGCATTTTAATAAATTTAGCAATTTTCTCTCTCTCTCTCTTTCTTTTTATTTTTTTATTTTTATCACAACCACTTATTAAACCTATTAAGAATTGACAAAATTGACAAATAGATGATATAATGTCATGATATTGATTTGATATATAAACTTAGTAAACAAATTGATATGTAAACATTTCATAAAATACTCAAATAAATACCAGTCACTTGCTTCAAATAAACAATTAAATGAATGCCAGTGAACTTTTTTTTTTTTTTTTTTTTTTAATAATCTTATCCGTTGTCCCCGAAGGAACTTCAAATAATCTTATCATTTCCCTTTTATTAAAATGAACAAAAATAATAATAGGTTCCCAGCCACAACAACTCTAGAGAAACAAAGTGCTGAGTTCCACTCCCTTGTTGCCCCCATGTAGGGCCCAATTACAGCTCCACATAACTGTATAGTAATACGCATAAATGAGCTTTAAAAGATCTCTGTTTCAACCTTTAAATTTGTGTTTAAAATTCACTACTCTACATATTTTTTAATCTAATTTAATTTGTAATCATTTTTAACTATTAAAAATTAATCCTATTAGTATTGAGATCCTACGAGAAAAACTCCTTAAAGCAAAGAAATTAAAATTTTTTTTTGGTTCATTTAGATATAAAAGAAAGAAAATTGTTCTGATCAGTTGTTAGATATGTACAAAAAAACATTAACATAACTCTTTAATCATTCTTTCTACTTTTATTATTTGACACCTAAAACTCTACTATTTTATTTTTTAAAAATAATAATAAAAAAGAATTGTGATCAAAATTCTCCGAAAATAACGATCACATAATAATATAAAGTATTCAATAGTTTAAACACAAAAAGATGAGATAATGAATTGATGATTCATGAGACGGAAACAGAGGTGTTGGTGAGTGTGACTTTGTGGGATACCTAAAAGGCCAAACGAAAAAAACCAAGACAAAACCCAAACCCAAAACCAAAACCAAAATCGAATAATAATGTCCAAATTCTGGGATTTCTTGTCTTCAACTTCTGGTGGGTTCTCCGAGGATTTCTGGCGACGAAACTTCCATGGCGGTTGGGCTACTTTCCTCGCTCTTCTCCTCATCTTCCTCTGGCACTCTTCTAGAAGGTTCTCTTTCCCCTTTTCTTTTTCTTTTCTCTCTCGCTCTTCTTCGTCTTCAGCTATCGCCGATTGTTCGAATCCCAACGCCTCTCCTTCTCAGACCCCCCAATTAGGGTGAGTTATTTGAATTTCTATTTAGTATTTTTTCTCTATTTTCTAATCACTATTGGGTTTGTCATTTTCCAATTGGGTCTATCTTGTTAATTTCTCCCGTTTTGGTGAAAAGGGTCAATACTATTGGGGATTTTAGCAACTGGGTCTTCAAAATTTTCATATGATATGCTTGAATTTTGCTGGGCCGTTTCTTGATTTCTTGACGTTTTTCAGTGATCTTAGGTGTATCGAGTTCTGTAATCTCATATGTTCAAGAGTCTTTTGGTTGAAAAGGACTGCTTAGACAATTGGCACTAACATCTTAATTCTTATCATTGGCAACCGAGATGAGATTAGAGAAATTATGCCTAGCTTAGCTTCTTTCTCTGTCAATATAGTATTAGTTGTTTATGTCTTGTCTCTGAGCAAAAAGTTATATTAGTGTCATTTTATTGATTTTGATAATCTGATATTGAGCATGGGTGTTTATTAACCGGTTGATTTTGGTAAATGATTGCTTATTTCTATTTTCATGATTTTTCGCTGCAGGGTCTCGGAGGTTGTATCAGAGGCAGATTTATTGTTTCTGATGGAGAGTTTAGATGAGAAGTTAAGTGTGGACGAGAAGTGGGATAGTGTCATAGACAAAAGAAACAACCTTCTCTCATACAGTGCCAAATGCTGCAAGACTAAGGTTACTGGCCATTCATGTATCTTTAGTTACTTTGCTAGAATGAGAATCATTTCTTCTCCTGGATGTCTATGTACTTTTTGTGGGATTGACTGAATTTACAAATATCGGGAATGAGATTTCGGTTTCTACAAATAGTGTCAGTTTAGTATATTATCCTTGGGTTTCTAATATAATTGCTATTGATAATGATTTATTTCTTATGGATCAAAGTTTACAATTATCATAAAACTATGGAATGGTTTAGTTTGAAATTACTTTCAATATCCACTAAATAGTTCTATCATGGTAATGTGGCCCTATTCCAATTATGGACCAAATATTATCCCGTTTCATTCTCAATACAGGTTACTAGATGTGCTACTGTCATTCTCAGAGGAGGCACCTAGGGAGGCATTACATTACCTTATATATATGTCGTGCCAAAATCTCAAAATGAAATGAAAGAAACATAAGCCTCTCCTCTAAGTAAAAACAAAAGCGCCCCCACCCCATATGAACCTCATCTTATAATTATTGTATACCAATTTCTGTTAATTGATTTTCCTATCTCGTTATTTAAGAGTTCATCTTCATGGCATCAATAATGGCTGGTGTTGCAGTCTGCAGCTCTTAATTTTGAAATTTCTTTTCATGCGAGGACTTTCAGGATGGTCCCTTGAAATACTTGAGTGTTACAGTTTTCGAGAATTGTTCTCCTGAGATACTGAGAGACTTCTATATGGACAATGATTACAGAAAGCAGTGGGACAAAACAATCGTAGAGCATTGGCAGTTACACGTGGATGATAACAATGGAGTTGAAGTTGGCCGTACAATAAAAAAATTTCCATTCTTGACGCCTAGAGAATATGTCTTGGCTTGGAGATTGTGGGAAGGAAAGGATGAGTCATTCTACTGTTTCATTAAGGTAATTTTCCTCACGAGAATTTGCTCACAGTTTCACATTGTAAATTGTATGCATTACAGAGCTGTTGCATATTTTACTTTTGGCAACTTCTTTGCACCAGTTACTTGCATGGTATTGAAATTTGCAGTTGTGCACATCAGTTGTGGCAGGTCGATCCCTCATTTATCACTGCCCCATTGCTGTTCTGTTTAATGTGTCAAGAGTAATTTAGAGCGTACTATGTGATAAAAATCTTTTATCTAGTCATTTTCGCAAAATATAATTTAGAAAACTTATGTTGCTATTTGTTAAATTTATTAGTGATATTATATGTTTCTGAAGCTTATGAAGTCTATTTTTATAGTCTGAGATTCTGCATTCTTCAACCAAAATATGCATGGATTAGTTATCCATCTGTGGATCTTTGTCCCTATAAATACTCGGTCTTTTTTGGTAAAGTCTTTTCATTTCATAAATATTTATTTTTTTCACATTTGAAAAAGGAAAAGAAGAAAGAAAACATTGAAGAGGCGTTTTATCAATCTGCATAAAGTATTGCCCAATTCTATTCGATTTGTGCTAAATTTTGCCTACTTGTGTCAAATAGAAACACTGAAATAGTATAACCTTCCGCATGGATGCTCACCTGAGTTTCAGAAGTTTGTCACATGAAAAGATATGGCTTAAAATTTTCACCATGAATCTTCCGTACAGGTTCCTCCCCAGTGTCCCCATCCCACTACTCAAAACACTCTCAGAAGCATGCGCAAATGTAAATTGAAGGGGTAAAGAAAGTGAGGTTTAAGTTTTATACAAAGAAGTATATGTATTCTATGCCAGGGACGAGCATGTCCCGTACCTTAACCATTTTTCTTTATTTAATTGCAGCAGAAAGGGCAAATTGAAAAATGATAAGACTAGTAGCACTTTTATATTAAGTGTTGGATGCTTGTGAATATACATTACAAGTGTTTGCCTGTTTGGTTAGCACAAGACAATATGTTTTCTAGTTGGTACTTTTCCTTTTGGATTTTGACAGTCCTGTCTATTTGGAGCTTTCAATTACTGATAATTGCTTATAAAGGAAATATTGTCTATTACAGGAATGTGAACATCCCTTGGCACCAAAGCAGAAGAAGTATGTCCGTGTTAGTGTTTTCAGATCCGGTTGGCGAATCAGAAAAGGTAAGATCCCAAATAGGCCCTGTCTGCAGTCCTTCATTGTCTTTTAGAAAGGGTAAACTAATAGAGGTAGATAGGTCTTGGCAGTTTTCATGTGATCATACACATAGGTTCGCGCAATTCAATACTGTGCAACACATTTTCTCAGAAATGTCACATGGTGAGAGTGGCTGAAGGAATTTACACATGCTAAATTGCATACTCTCTACTAAAAATATGTTGAGGGATCGATAACATGGCTGACTCTGCACTATAACTATAAGCTTCATTTTTTAATTACTTAGTGCTGGACGGTTTTTACCTAATATTCTGGTGATTGTCAATCCTCTAACTACAGTTCCTGGTAGAGATGCATGTGAGATCAAAATGTTCCATCAAGAAGATGCTGGTTTAAACGTGGAGATGGCAAAGTTGGTTTTTTCAAAGGGCATATGGAGTTACGTCTGTAAGATGGACAGTGCCCTACGAAAGTATCCTACAATTAGACTGCCTCAATCTTCTTCTGCTAATGCAGTCACATTGATCAAAATGGTTAGGACCTTTGCCCCTTTTTTGTATATGTCGATTCATCATAGCATTTCGTGGTTATGGATCTTGGTTCCACTATAGTGATCTTGGAAACCAAGCATTAATTTTGTACTTTAGTTTTTCATTCACTTAAGATAATTCTCTTTGTTCTATGCGGTGGTCATAGTTTTCTGAAGCCTGCAGCCGTTAGAAATTAGTGTACTATAATTCTTTGTAGAAATGTGTTAAATACCAAAAGTCCCACATGGAATGATTATAAGACAAATAGTGGGTTTATAAGCCTTGGGTTGCCTCCCCTTGTAAGCCGGATTTGCAAGAGTGAGTTCTACCTAATGGATTTGTAACAATTGGTATCAGAACAAATGGTAATTATATATATAGGGAGGATCGTAGTGGTTACATGGTTAGTAGTAGACAAAGCAGGATATAGAAAACTACTTGCAAATTGAAAACATCAAACATAAGTTTTTTATTAATAATAGGTGAGGATCGTAGTGGTTACATGGTTAGTAGTAGACAAAGCAGGATATAGAAAACTACTTGCAAATTGAAAACATCAAACATAAGTTTTTTATTAATAATAGGTGTGTGTGCGTGTCTTCAAAATGCTGAGATCTAATTTATAGAGTTGATTTTTAAGAGATTTTTACTATAGCCACATGACTATCACTAAAGTTGAACAGTATCTACTTCAGGATGAACAATAAGATTCTTGTCAGAAAGATGTATTCCATAGGCTTTGTTTTTTCATTTATTCGTTTTCATGATTGAGGATAGCTCTATTATTATCTATAATGTAGTCTTATCCTCTAATCAACTACTCCAATTTTTCTTAGAAGGATTTTATCAGTCAACAAATTTTTTTTTCAGAATCTCTCTTTTTTTAAAAAAAATTTATATTCCATATAAATTTTCAAAAAAAGGTTAGGCACGACTTTCAAGGTTTAGGGTTTTAGGAGGGTCTCATGTTTAATAGAGCAGACTGGAAACGATAAATCCATATAGCCAACCCTAATTAATTTAGAATTAAGGCTTGTATTTGTTGTTGTTTAATTTGTCAATAATGTAATTGTCAGATATTGCCTTTTTTTTTATAGCATTCCCTCCCCCCCCCCACTAGACTTTTCTTTGGAATATATTAAAAAAATGGCAATATCTTACAATTCCATTATCGATAAAGATATATGGAATGTAGAAGATGAAAAGATTAGGAAAATTTATTGATTGATGGAATCTCTCTAAGGAAAACTGGAGCAGCTAATCAGAGGATAAGACTACACTATAGATAATAATGTAGCTATCCTCAATCATGAAAACGAAGAAATGAAAAAGCAAAGCTTGAAGAAAGCATCTTTCTGACAAGAATCTTATTGTTCATCTTGAAGCAGATACTGTTCAATTTTAGTGATGTTCATGTGGCTAAAATAAAAATCTCTTAAAATCAGGCCTATAAATAGAGGTCAGCATGTTAAAGATACACACCTCCAGCAGAACAACTACTACTTTCGTAGTTATATGATTGGAACCTGATCTGTTCTCAGCCAAACAACCCAAGCACTCACACAGCCAAACACCAGATCAAATGCAAACAGAAGGAATTTTTATTGAGATTAACTTCAACACTAGCTCATACAAACTAAAACCAGTTAGAGAAAATTAAAGAAAAACGAAATGGATAGATTGGAGTATTCGAGGACTCCAGAGAACCCCTAACTCGGCTGTATTTGGAAGACCACTAGCTCTCCCAGGTTTCCCAAAATCCTCACAAATCTCAACATAAACTCCTACAGCCCTAAATCCCCTTATTTATACTCCTAAAAAACTACTCAATAATAGAAACAACTAACAAAGCCACCAAAACCAACTAACTAGCTATTAGGTTCCTAAAATAATCACTCCACTTTTTTTCTCTCTGTCTTCCTTTTTAATCCCTTTCTCTCTCTACCTTCAATCCCAGAAAAAAATTTGTAGAAAAATTGTAGGCTTCCTCTTAAGGAATTATTATTATTATTATTATTATTATTATTATTAAGGCTTATGAATGATGTTTTCAATTTGTGACTAGTTTTTTATATCCGGCTCTATCCCCTGTTAAACTAATAATTTTCTCTGAAGGACACTATTTACCATTATATATATATAATATATATTTATGGAAAATTCCTCATTTATAGCTCTTGTAAGACTTTGCCTCTCAATATTGAAGCGAAACACTCGTTCCTCCTGAATAATTATATATTAACAAAAAAACCCATTCGGTTAAGATTTCTAATGGAAATTACACATCGCATAAACAATAGTTTTTATTGATCAATTAGTGCACAATTACTATTTTACCCACATTTTATTTTTTTATTCTAATTTTTCATGTAATATAAATATAATAAAATATTAAAAAACCAAAACAAAAGCAAAAAAGAAAAAAAAGAAGGATTGTCTTCTTCCTACAGCAAGTCTTCCAATCGTCTTCTTCACATTTCTTTCTCTTTGTTTACAGAGTTATTTATTTATTTATTAATTTTAGGAAAGTCTTTTGTTTTAAAATTTTATTAGTTTTAACGTGAAATATATGTTCAAAAAGTTTAGGGTTAACCCCACAAATGGTTCCTGAGGTTTACACTCAATCTCATTTTAGTCTCTGACTTTTTAAACGCTGCACAGATGGTCCCTGAGGTTTATTTTGTTTCAGTTTTGGTCATTCCATCAACTAGGCATTAAAATTTGATAGAACCTGTGTAAATTAAAGTCCAAAATTAGAAACAACTAATTTGGGTCTATCTGTGGAAATTAACTTTTAGTTTTTTGTATTATTTTAGTCTCTAAACTTTATATATCTCCTATTTTAGTCTATAATTTCTACAGATTTCATCAAATATTTAACACCAAACTAACAGAAGGACCGAAATTGAAACATAATAAAACCTCAGGGACTAACTGTGGACATTTGAAAAGTGAGGGACTAAAGTGGGATTGAGGCTAAACTTCAGGGACTATTTGTGAGATTAACCTAAAAGTTTATATTAATTCTACTGAAGGACAAAAGCTTTATACTACTTTAAACTTAAAATTTGATTAATAGTGAATTTTTCATGATTAAAAATTTCAAATTTAAATTAGTTTTAAACTCAAATTAAATCTTAAACCCAAAAGTTACCGGAACACCCTCATAAGATGTACCACCAATCAGATATTTGTCAATTTCCATTAAAACCATAACAGAAGAGGTTTTTTTTTTTTTTTGTTTTTTTTGTTTTTGTTAACGTTTTAATGTTCGGGGGAACAGGTGTTATGTTTTAAATTTTAAGGGGCAAAGTGCTACAAGAGTTATAGTTCAGGGGGAATTTTAATCCTATATATATTTTGCAATTGATCCTCTATATATATATATATATATATATATATATGTCTGGTCTGGTTTAAGTTAATTTTAGGAGAATTTGACGTTTCATCTTTGTCATTCCCATGTTGTCTGTTTGTGCAACTCATGATGCTTTTATCCATTTAGGTTCCCCCTGAATTAGATACTACTCGCGATGGGACTTCACAAGCAACCTCAGCACCTACTGGCGTTCAAGGATCAGTTACTGGCCTGGAGAGGAAATTATCAAGAAGGCCATGCGGAAAAATGGTGGCTAACGGGTTGCTGCTTATCGGCGGTGTAATCTGCCTCTCTCGCGGTCATTCTAGCTTGGGCGCTAAAGTTGCACTGGCATACATCTTGAGCAAGCTGAGCAAGCGTGGTGCTTCATCAAGTCAAGGCAATCAAATTTAGGTACATGACCTTGTTGCCTGACAATATTGAGAAGGTACAGTTATGTTTCCCACATATAGATCATAGATAGATTACAATACCAAGAAATCTTGTGAAAAAATGACCCTCTTTGCCAAAATGGAAAATGTGAAGCGGGAAAGGAGAAACAGATGCAGTGTTTTTCGAAAAAGAGGTGGAGTCCATATTTTGCTAATAAACTTGTAGCTGAAGTTACAGGTTTCTGTTAATCTTTATCACCTTTGTAAATCCTAATAAAACAGATGCGTGATTTTTATGCTCGCAAGTGCACGTGTCGCAGACAAGTAATAAAGTGTACAGAGTACGAATATCGTCCCACAGAGAATGAATCACCAAGTGTACATGCAGAAATCAACTAGTTTAGCCGTTTAAGAATTATATAAAAAGTTGACTGTTCAGAAATTACTCAGTGGTTTTAAATGCAGAAATGTAAAATGAATTGTAAGAAAAGATTAACCAGAAGTTCAAGGGGCTGTTCTTTTACCCTTTTTGAGTTAGGTGATTTGAGTGTAGGTTTTGAGTTGAGTTTGAGTTATAACTTGAGAGTTGAAGTTGTAATTTGAGTTTGTGTTTGGTTGTGTACATTTGAGTTATGGTTTGAGATAAGAATCTTTTTGAGTTTGTGTTTGAGTGAGTCAAAACTTAAATTTGTATTTAGATAGTATTTTAATAAAAACTCAATGCTGATGGAAAATTTTAATAGAGTATATGGATGGGGTTTTATTCGTCTTTTCGTTGTAAACGCATAGAAAAAAGAAATCATCTCAATCAGAATTAAAACGAAAAAGTTATAACATTTTTAAGAATAGAAAAAATATTGTTCATTAATTTGAGTTCGAGTTTCTGAACTCAAGTTGAAGGGGAAATTTGAACTCGAGTTTTAGTCACAAACTCGAGTTTAAACTTAAAAGAACATGAACTTGAATAAAGTTGTAACTCGAGTTGTTTTTTTTTTGAGTTTTTGACTCAAAAAAAGGGTTGCCGAACAGCCCCTAAGAATGCTGCAATAATGCTATAGCATAAATGTCTTGTTAATAGAAACTCATTTATTGTGCATAAGATTCTTCCGAAGTCTTTAAGTCTACAGATTTCTCAACCATTTTCAACATATTCTAATGTGAATATAGTTTTAGAATGCAAATTAAGCTCAGATTTCTATATGTTATGCAAGATGAACAATACATTCTTATATCATTCACAAATCAATAAACTCAAATAAGATTATTGAACTTGCATTATCTATGTTAGATTTAACTAAAATTTAGCAAGATAAAATGCAAAACCAGAAAATTTAAATTAAAACACAAAAGAAACAATAAAATACACTCTGGCTAAGCAAACGATGACAATGTAATTTCTGTTTTACCAATTGGTTGATCTACCAGCTTATTGTTTTCTGGTGTCAGACAAAATTAGCCTGTCTGACTTTTGCTTCCCGTTTGGAAAATCCGACCCGTTCACTTGGAGCGCGTTCAAATTCACTTATGTTGTTGACAAGGAGCAGTATGTTCATGAAGGACTCAATTTGTTCGCGTCAAAGGCTCTTTTTTTGTTTTGCTATTATGCATTGCCATCATTTCTTATACTTTAAATATCCATATTAAACTGTCTTAGGAGATGTTCTCATGTACGAGTGATTAGATATGAGATGTTTTAAATATTAGAGATTAAAATGAGATTATTAAAAGTTTGAAGACGAAATAAAATATAGTCTTACATAACACACATTAAAAAGTAAACAAAAAAAAAGTGACATATCGCAAACTCCATACGAGTTAGAATTTGTGCTGCAACTTATTTGAGTTAAAATTTGTGCCATTTTTTTAAATTTCTTTTAAACTTTTTGAAGTTACAGAAATCCAAAGCCACTTATTGAATATACAAAAATCAAAACACGCCTAATTCTTGTAACGTTCTCAAGTTTTCTCTATAAACTATAGGCATATGGGCATAATCGGGTCGGGTCGGGTGGTTGAGTGGGTGGGTGTTGCGTGTTGCGCTCGTACCCGCCCCGCCCCTTAATAGGGCGGGTACTTTTACGGCCATATTGAAATTCTCGTACATTTTGAATCCGGAAGTGAGAGACGGTTTGAAAAACAGTTGAAAAAAAAAGAAGAAAAGAAATAGAAAGCTCTGTCCGTCCGGAAAACGTTGGGAGGCTCTCATTTCGTCCTGAGCTTTCGGGGTTTGTGTTTCTGACTTCTGCAATGGCAAGGGCAATGGCAACGACAATGGCATTGCCATCTCTAATTTTAGTCTCTCTTTTCTCCCACAAACAACTCACAAAAAACCCACCAACAGATTTCACCATTTCACATAAACAAATACCAAAAACCAAAAAAAAAAAAAAAAACTTTTGGTCCATGGATGAATCTACTGGTTTTCTATCACAAAATAATCTGCGCCTTCTGGGTTCCTGCATTTTCTCCACCTAAAATAGAAAAACAGAGAAGAACCCATTTTCACCTTTTCTTTCTCGGAGTTTGTGGAAGATGGGTCACCATTTTCTTGGGTTGTGGATTGTTTTCTTTGGAGTTATTGCCACTCGGGTTCTTTCCAAAACCAATGCCCCAGATGGTATTTCCCTCTTGGTCTATTTTCTTCTTGTTATTAATTTCAATTTATATTTTGTGGATTTCAATCTCTAGTGACATTTTCTTGTATGGTTGTATATTTTTGGTTCCCATGCAATTTAATTAAGAGATAATGTTTGGAAAATTGGCATGAAAGTAGAATGAGAATTTGTTACAATAAAAGGAAAAAAAAATGGATGACTGCTATTAGTTTATTTATGTCAGTGGGGATCCACATATTTGCAAAATAGGAGAAAAATATGAATTACTTGGAAAAGTTCAGGAATATTTTTTAAATTTAATCCTTGTTTTTTTTTTTTTTTTTTTTTTTTTTTTTTTTTTTTTTTTTTTATTAATCTGCTGTTAGATGAAAGGGGGAGAAACTTTTGCTTTGGGTCTTGAATAGGAGCTGTTCGCTGAATTTTTGCTTTGGGTAACAGTGTTATGAAGTTAAGTAATCGCCCCAAAGATTTCATTTGAGTTTTGCAAATGCTTTGGCGGTTCAGTTTGATGTTTTTCCATACGTACGCTTTATCATTATGCATTATTAATATTTACAGTTGTATCAATCAGGAAGAAGAATTTTCATTGTACCTGCTTTTAACAACCTTAGACGTACCTTTCTTTATCCTTATTCAGTTTGGACTATACTCACAAACGTAAATAGTATTCAGATAATTGAAAACAACTTTATTTGAAATCTTGGCTCCACTTAAATGCATCACTATTTTCTTAAATGGGGGTGAAACCTTCTGAGTTTTCACCAGGTGTTTCCTCCATACTTATTGAGCAATTAATAAACTAATGCCGTAATTATAAGCATGCGGTACATATGACTTTGGAGGGCGGGTCTAGAAGTTAATTATACCAATGCTTATTACATTTTCTTTCTGCTGCTATATGCATCTGGAGTGAATTTAAGTTTGTGACTTTTTGAAGTAAATCAATAATTGCATTTATCCATTTGTAGTATTTCGATTTCATGTTTTCTTATCTTTCTCTGCAGTCTCTGCCCTTAATGTGATGTATACTAGCTTGAACTCTCCTTCGCAACTAAGTGGTTGGCAATCAAGTGGAGGCGATCCTTGTGGTGATTCCTGGGAAGGAATCAAATGCTCGGGCTCGTCTGTCACTGAAATGTAATCATCGTCATAGTTACATATTCTGTATCAAGCATTTTATCAAATATATATTTGGTGAAATAGCTAAAAGTTTAAAAATTCCATTGCAAATATGTATCTAACACTTCTGAGTGATAACTTATTTCTGTTAACAAATTTGCAGAAACTTATCTAACCTTGGACTTTCTGGATCAATGGGTTACCAGCTTTCAAGCTTGACATCTGTCACCTACTTGTGAGGCCCAGTTTCTTGAAATACCATTCTTTTTATTTTCCTCTTTATTGAAAGGACAGACAATAAAGGCATTGCATTTGCTTGTCATAGTACAGTGACTTGAGCAAGAACAACATCAAGGGTGAAATACCTTATCAACTTCCTCCGAATGCTCAGTATATGTAAGTTGCATTGGCTTGAAAACCTTTTAGTGTGTATTCACTGATTAACATGTTTTGCTGAATAATATTTGTGGCATAAGTTCGTAACCACGGACAAAATTTTCTACAATATTGGAAGTTTCAGAATTTCTGAAGTCCTGAAATATCTTTTGGGTGAAACAATTCCTGTCAAGGTTTCTGTAAATCTCGGGAAATATTAAAATATCTTGTGCATGTACGCTTTTCGAAACATCATGACATACCAACTTTCTCTGAATACATTTGTGTAAAAAAAAAAACAACAACAACAATTAATAACTTCCATTCTTAGCATTAGCAATGTAGAACTTTCTTTGGAATATATTGACATTGCTCGTCGTACAAAAGGAGAGTTTACCTCCTTAAAGGAAAAATTGTTCTTGTTTATGTGTCTGTTTTGTGATTGCATTAAATGCACGTCAATGATCATCTCTCGAATGTACTTTAGCTTATGGAGCATATTTTCGTTACAACAAATTTCTTTCATAACGTAGTTTATTTTCATTCTATCTTTTTTCCATACAATATGATGATATTGGTGTGCAGCGATCTTTCAGAGAATGGCTTTACAAATAATGTGCCGTATTCATTTTCTCAGATGACGGACCTTGAATACCTGTAAGCCTAAGCTTATATTCTCATGTTTGGACATCCTTTTCCGTAGAAACTTTCATTTTCTAAAGACCTTGTTTGTGGGATGCAGGAATCTTGCCCATAATCAGCTCAATGGACAGCTTAGTGATATGTTTGGGAAACTGACAAAATTAAAAGAGCTGTGTGTGTTTCTCTCTCTCTCTCTCTCTCTCTCTCTCTCTCTCTATATATATATATATATATATATATACACATATGTCCATACATATATATACATGTATTTATATACATACGTTATGTATAGAGTTCATGCTTGGTAAAGATACCTGCTTTTGCGTCCTTTTATGGAATTCACCAAGTGCTATCGTATACAACAATGAATTCAGTTAAAAAATGAAATTTCTTAGGTTTGAATTTGTTTTCGAAACAAACTGGAGCTGTGACCACGGTTATCTTGTTTGTTTAATGAAATATTTTGTGAAGTTGGTTTATTGACTTTCTAGCAAAATGGCATACAGGGATCTTTCTTCCAATTCACTGACGGGCAATTTACCTCAGAGTTTTGGAAAACTATCAAGCCTCATAAAATTGTAAGAATCAATAAATAAGAGAAAAATTCTAGAACTCTGAAGAGGCTGGTCACTAACTGTTTTATGTCCCCTCACAGGCATTTGCAGGATAATAAATTTACGGGTCCAATAAATGTGCTTGCCAACCTTCCCCTTGACGATCTGTAAGTACACTGCTATATCAAATTCTAATTTAAAATGAAGGTTCCACGTTAAAATGAGGAAACTTATTCACATTCCATCATTTTTTTAGTTTTTAATTTTCTCTTATTAAAGTTGCTACCTACTAATTTCAGTTTAGAAAAAGTGTTACCTAATAGAGCAAGGCTTCAGTGATAATGATTGAAAGGTGTCAAGTGATGAGATGAACCTTGTTTAGCTACCTCATCCAGAAGGGTCTGGTTGGGAAAATAAAGAGAAAACGGGAAAGGTTTTGGCCTTACTATCATGAGAATTTTTCTCATGTTATGTTTTTTTTTTTTTTTTTTTTTTTTTTTTTTTTTTTTTTTTTGAATTGAGGGTTATATTGAACAATTATAATGCAACCATAAAAATTAAAGGATGGGGTAAAAATATTGATGTTTGACTTGTTCAGTGCACTTCTAAATTCAGTCAAATTAAACATAATTTCGATCTAAGCTAACATTGCTCCAGCAATTCATTGTGAGTAGAAATGGGCCAAAAGGTATTCAATATTATCTGCGAACCTACACACTTGCTTGAATATTTTAGAAAACAAAAAATTATTATTACGTTTGAAGGAGTATTCTATCCAAAATAACTACAAGAAGAGGTTAAAGGTGCATGAAAGAATTCACTTTTGGAAGTCTTACATACTCGTAATTATGTGTGATTAGACCTTTGTGGATAAGAGAATTAAATTGTAAAATCTCACTTTTCCTTTGCTGCTCTTTACGTAATTTGGAATAGTAAGCTCTATACTTCCTCCTCATGGAAGGAATGTTTTTCTTTTATTTATTTATTTTTTGGGTATGCTGGCAGGAATGTTGAGGACAATGACTTCTCTGGCTGGATCCCTGAGGAGTTGAAGGGCATAAGAAAATTAAAGTGATAATTTTTTAGAAACATTATCTAATGCTGCAATTCCTAAAGAGCTGTGTCTCTGACTTATTTCCCTTTTTGTTTTCTTATTGACTTCAAAGGACTGGAGGCAATTCTTGGTCATCCGGGACGGCTCCACCTTCTCCTCCTGGTGAAAACTCTTCTGTTCATAGAAAAGTAAATGATGACGGTATAAAGTCTCTTGTCACTGGATTAACAATAGCGGGGATAGCTTTGGGTGTACTGGTGTTGCTTGTAATTATAATTTCTCTCTTTTCGAGAAAATCATCTAGGCATTCTTCACATTTCTTCGATGAAGAAAGATTTAGCCAGCAAAAGTCATTCTCCCCTGCTTCTCAGGAGTTGCCAAAAGACTTGCGTTCTGACATATGCAAAGACTATAAAGGTAACTATTGGCTTATTTGATATAATTTATGCTTTTTAGGTGGTGAAATAAGAGGATTAAAAGAAACTAACTTTTACAAAAGCTTAATAGGAAGTTATGATATTTAATTTTCATTGAAGTGAGCTTTGGCTCAATTGCCACATCTATTAAACTCCAACACTAGTTCCCACTTCTGTTAAGCTTTTCTGAGACATTGTTCAACTACTAAAAGCTTTTGGGCTACAAATAAGAAAACTACAAAAAGCTTCATTTTAAGAGCCATATCAAACAAGTCCCATATTCTATTTTGCGTCTATTGATAAGAAAACTACACTACACTAGAAGTTCCATAATACTTTCGTCTTGAGTTTTACATCAACATATTTCCTCTGGACCTTGATATTGAACCTTAATTAGTAAAGTTAGACGTAGAAGTTTTTCATATATGGATAAGTTGACTACTATAAATAGCATGTTATCAATCTTACATGAGAAAATGTTCGTGCTACCAATTGCCTGGCCATAATAGAATAATTAGCCATTGCATGCTTGTTTCAACTTTTCTTGAATTTTTTAATTTGTATGACACTCTAATAACTATTCTAATGCCCACTTTAAGCCTCAATTATCTTTAGTATGGGCTTCTACTAACTAAATCATTTCCCTGTGGAAGATCTTAGGTCTTCATCTACTTCAATTGACATTATGCCTTTTCAAAAATCTCCTTCAATTGGTGGTAGACCTGCACTTTCTTCTGGGAAGCAATCATTCAGCGAATCTGAGTTTGTTAACCGCCTGAATGCTGGAAGAAGCATGTCCATTCATGCTTCATCTTTCCTTTTGGGAGATTTGCAGGCTGCTACTGCTAATTTCGCATCGGGTCGCCTTCTTGGCCAGGGATCCACTGGACGTGTTTATAGGGCTAAATATGCGGATGGCAAGGTCCCTTTTGCTTTCATATTTTCTCTTTCTTGTGATTCATTCTGTAAGAAAAATAACTAGACTTATCCACATTTGCACAAATACATAAAGCTAATGTAATTATGGAGCCATCATAGGTTTTAAAAATTTGAACAACTTATCGTGGCACTCATTTTGTAATTGCACTTCACTAAGTCTATTCAAAGTATTTTGTTCTACACATTGCTATTTAACTAAAGCAGTCTCTTCTTCAATCTCCTCAAAACTATTTAATTCTCATTTGCTCTTGTGCACAATAGTTTGACTTACAAAATATAGGAACAATTCTTGCTTAATAATTCGTGGAGTAAGAACAATAAGGAACGACTCTTATCAAATTTTCAGGTCTTAGCTGTGAAAAAGATTGATTCCTCACTATTTAGAGGTGGGAGACCAGAAGAATTTTCTGAAATTGTCGCAAACATTTCCAAGCTTCACCATCAAAATATTGCGGAACTTGTTGGTTATTGTTCAGAACAAGGGCATAACATGTTGATTCATGAGTATTTCAGGAATGGCTCACTTCATAATTTCTTGCATATGTCGGACGAGTACAGCAGACCGCTCACGTGGAATACCAGAGTCAGAATCGCTTTGGGCACAGCCCGGGCAATTGAGTACGTAATGCAGATCCTATGCTATCATAAATTCTGGTTTAGTAAGCTTATTATACTTGGCATAAGCTAGAAATTTAGGAAATAAAAGGTCTTGCGCTTCTGTTTAGCAAATTCCATAACAGATTAGTGCATCTGCACCCTTCTCTACATTTTCAGAGATGAGTCCCAGAGTCGGTCTGAGTTCATATGTTTATAGATACGATTATTGAAAATTTCCAAGTTCCTTACTTGATTCTCATAGTTGTGAAAGTGTATTTTTATTTTTTAAAGCTTTTCCATGATCCTGCTTTTAATGGAACAAGTGCTTTATTGTTGACCATGTTTTTCTCTAGTCATTTTCACCATTTCTACTCGGATTGGCTTTGTATTCAGGTATCTTCATGAGGTTTGTTCTCCATCATTAATACACAAGAATATCAAGTCGTCCAACATTTTGCTCGACGCTGAACTGAACCCTCGTCTCTCTGACTGTGGCTTAGGAACTTTTCATCAGGTTATTATTTCTTTGTACACAATCTTTTGCAGACTATCCACATTTCACGAAATATAACATTAATGGTCATGATTGAAGAAGTCAAGAGCAAAGATTTTATGCTTTGTTAAAATAAATAAATAATATTACAATTTGCGAAGGGTCAGTAGGTGTTCCATCTGTTAATTGACATCCATTACATATAAATTCCTGATTTAGGAGGTGGCTTATTATTATTTTTTTTCATTTTTGCTTTAAAATTTAAGTAGAAAAAAAAAGACAATGTTCCTGCATAAGTGGGGTGGTTTCTCAAACAAGGGTGTCTGTTAGGATGTATTCAAAATATCGGAATATTAAGAGTTTACGCGTATTTCAGACCAAGTAGTGCTACTTCATCCAGTATAAAACTTGTGGCCTGTTAAAACTCTCAGTGCGCGAATTTACTAAAACCTCTCATCTGTCTAAACAGAAAAATAATTCATCTTCCCTTGAAATTCTTTTCAGCGCACTAGCCAAAATCTTGGTGTTGGATACAATGCACCAGAGTGCACAAGGCCGTTGGCGTATACGTTGAAGAGTGATGTTTACAGTTTTGGGGTGGTCATGTTGGAGTTATTGACGGGTCGTATGCCTTTCGATAGGTGTGTGATTAACTATTAGTGTCTATCTTTTCCACGAGCTAGGCTAGTTTATGTACTATATCTTCTCAATTCGGTTTTGTTTTTTTTTTTTGATTGATTGCCTTTAGTTCGAAACCAAAAGTGGAACAGTGTCTCGTTCTATGGGCTACTCCACAGCTTCATGATAACGAGGCATTGGAGAATATAGCAGATCCTGCTTTGCGCGGACTCTACCCTCCGAAGTCAGTCTCTCGATTTGCTGACATCATTGCCCTCTGTGTTCAGGTGAGAGCCATATATATATATTTTTTTCTGGATAAAACTCTCCTCCTTAGGAGCCAATATTAGAAATAGAAGCAAAATGGCAGATACATCCAAACTCCAAAATCAACAATACCAATATAAGAAAATGAACCTTTCAGAGTTCTGGTGTAATGACACAAGACAGCATATAGGCCTTGTAGCCAGGTCCTTTTAAATTTTGTTCTCCTTGAAGATTAAACGATCTTATTTCTTGCTTGTTTTTTCTTGTTCCAAGAATCTAATGTTTTGCTCTGCATTTATACATTTCAGAGGGAACCTGAATTTCGGCCAGCGATGTCGGAGGTGGTACAGGCATTGGTGCGGTTAGTTCAACGCTCAAGTATGAATAAGAGAGGCGATCTAGGAGGTTCTCGCCAGCTCGATGATTACGACTATTAACTAATTGTTTTAAAAATGATGTACACGTTGAGATAGACAGGACCCATTTAAAGGAAAGAATAGTAGTTCTTTCACAAGTTTTGTCCTCCTTTTGGACATGTTTATTAATACTGTGCCCAAGCAAACGTTGACATATGGTGAGCAAAATATTTTTTTGGCATGGAAATGGACCATTTCAGCGATGCAAGCCGTGGTGTCTTTAGATGACGAGGACAATACGCCTTGCACTAATAGAAGACACCTTCCAAAGAAGAATGCTAATAATGATAATAACAACTTGGAAAATAGGCGCCTTTCGAATTGTACCCCTTATAAAAGACGTCTTTGGCGCATTACCCCTTATACTATTGGTTTTCAATGAAGAATGCTCGGGAGATTCATTGATGCTAAACACCATCACTAATAGAAGACATATCTCATTCATTTTCTATTAATAAGTGTTGTACAACGAGTATTTATATTTGTCTCGATAGAGTTAAATCTCCATTCTCTCACAAAAAGTGGGTCCCACAAGTGGAGTCTATGTTTATGAAAGAGTGGGGATATATCCTCATCAGGTTATATAACATTTTTTCGTGTACAAAATCACTGATGCCGTATAACATTGTTCTCTCACAATATGATTACTTGGCATGTGAGCAGCCACATCGGATGTTTCTGATCACATATGGCTCATTTGCAAGCTAATTATGGTAAAATGGGAAATAAATTTAAATCTTTCCAAGTGACTCCTTCGTGGACTACTTTTATAGTGCATATATATTATATATAGTATATAAAAACTCCAACCCTTCTACGTATTAAAAAATCCATGCGGTTGCTGTCTATGTGGCAAATTCTGTTGGAAAAATTGTGGTTCTTATTGCAAATAGCACTCCTCTATTAGGCTTGGGGAAACAGTGGGGCCAACTCCATGTAAATGGTGGGGTTGGGGTAGCTCCATCGGGCCTAAAATCATTTTCCTATTGCAAAATAATATAAAATATAGGGGGTAATTTGCTAAACTTTACTTTTAGAAGGAGATAAAGTGCTAAAAGCACTAATCCATAAGGGGGTATTGTAAAATTCAGATTGTTCTTTTTACGACTCAAGTTAAGAGCATGAGTTGTATATGTGAGAGATAAAAAAATTAATTTTAAATTTTTATGAGAAGAAAACACTATAATAATACTTGAGTTATGAAAAAAAACAACTACTTCATATCATTATAAAATATTCTAAAAAATAGTTATATCTCTATTCTATTTTTATAAACGTGGGGTGTAATGTAATTTTTATTTCATAATTTATAATGACATTCAAAACGTCTGAAAAATAACGCGTACCAAATTGATAATTGATAACCGTAACAAAAAGGAGAGGTAAAGAATGAAATGGGTTGGCACGTGGCCACTTCTTATATTGATATTTAAGTGACGTTTAGTTCATGAGTTTAAAATTATAATTCATGATTTTAATTTTTAAAATTTAAATTTTTTATGAAAGAAATCACAATAACAAACTAAAAATTATAATTCTAAACCAAGTTAAGACCCTCAAAACAAGCGGATCATTAATTTAATGGTTCGTGTTATCATATCACTTGCAAAAACATATAAGTACCGTCGTGACAATTTTGTTGACTTGTCATAGTAGTCGTTAAAACACTTTTTTGTTGTTTTTGACGACTTCTTGTAGAGAGTTTACCGTACTTTTTCCATGGCCGTTGACTGCCTACAACGCGTAACAAAATTGATAGCAGTAACAAAAAAGGAAAGAAAAACGTTAAGGAACTAATGGTTGGTACGTGCCACTTTCCATGGTTCTACGAAGAAATTTAACTTATGCTGTGTTATTAGCATATATATAAAAAAAAAAAAAAAAAAAAAAAAAAAAAAAGATGCCAATCTTTCTTTTTCAACGATTTCAACTAAAGGAAGTCTTTTAGTTGAAACATTCGTTTTGATCCCAATTTGGTTTCCAAACTAAGTGTCCGTTTATTTCCTGTATTCGTTCCTGATTCGGAATCATGATTCATGATTCTTTATAGTATTTTTCTCTCACAAAATACACACGTAAAATGAGAATAATTCTGAATCATGATTCTGAATATATGAACCAAACATCACTTAAGAGATTTTCTCCACAAACCAATTACGTTCCTTTCTCACACCGTCCACTCGTCAAGAGATCTTCATCGGAAAACTCTTCACTGCCATCGAGTCGGAATCGCGGCAGGTGCCACCCTTAGATACCGTTGTCTTGGGGTCATTTGGGTTTATCTTTACTTAGTCGGGACCAACATTGCCACTCCAACT